ACATTTTCCATTGGATATTGTCCAACAGACATCTCAAACTTAACACATCCAGTACTTAACTCCTGAGCTTCCCTCCCTCAAGTCTGCTCTATCCACAGTCTTTTCCATATCAGTTAATGGCAACTTCTTCCTACCAATTGCTCCAAAAACCTTAGAGTTATCCTTTATTAAAAAAATTTATTTATTTGTTTATTCATTTATTTTTGGCTGCTTTGTGTCTTCATTGCTGCGTGCAGGCTTTCTATAGTTGCGGTGAGCCGGGGGCTACTCTTCATTGTTCTGCAGCATGTGGGATTTTCCCGGACCAGGGCGCGAACCCATGTCCCCTGCATTGGCAGGCAGATTCTTAACCACCGCGCCACCAGGGGAGCCCCCCTCAATGTAGTTTTGCTTTGCATTTCTCTAATAATTAGGGATGTTGAGCATCTTTTCATGTGCCTATTGGCCATCTGTATGTCGGAGTTATCCTTGACTCTCCTCTCTTCCCCACATCAATTACATTAGCAAATCTTCTTGTTTATAGTGCCTCTGCCCTGGAACAGGCCCCCATCTCTCACTGGAATTGCCCAAGAGGCTTTCTTACTGGTCTGCTTCCATACTTGCCCTCTATGGTTTATTCTTATCACTCTCTAATTGCTCCCTATTTCACTCTGAGTAAAAGCCAAAGTCCCTACACTGGGCTCCAAGACTCCAAGACATGATCACTAAATCCTACCAAACTGGCTAAGAATAAAAAGTTTGATACTGGGCTTCCCTGGTGGCGCAGTGGTTGAGAATCTGCCTGCCAATGCAGGGGACATGGGTTCGAGCCCTGGTCTGGGAAGATCCCACATGCTGCGGAGCAACTAGGCCCGTGAGCCACAACTACTGAGGCTGCGCGTCTGGAACCTGTGCTCTGCAACAAGAGAGGCCGTGATAGTGAGAGGCCTGCGCACCGCGATGAAGAGTGGCCCCCGCTTTCTGCAATTAGAGAAAGCCCTCACACAGAAATGAAGACCCAACACAGCCAAAAATAAATTAAAAAAAAAAATTTGATACTACTCAATGATGTAGAAGATAGTCTCACTTATACATTGTTGACGAAGCGCAATTTGCTAATACCTATAAAAGTTTTTAAATTAAGCATATTCTATAATGCAGCAATTCCATTTATAGGAATTTACCTTATGGAAATACACAAGAGTGGCCAAAGACACATATGCAACGTTCACTGCAGCATTGTTTGTCATGGGAAAACACGTAAACATTGCTTCCATACAATGGAAGACCGTGTAGGATAATGGATATTCATGGGCTTTGGAAAGATCTCCAAGATACATTAGTAAGTGCTGAAAGAAGCAGATCAGTAATTATAGAATAATCTCATTGTCTAATAAAAGGTCAACATAAACATACTCTGTGTGTTTGTGTGTGTGTGCATTTAAAAAGCAATTTGAGGGAGCTATCCCTTAGAGCTATCTGAGAGACTGTCTCCTGGGCTTGAAGTCCTCAGAATGTCCACCGAATAAAACATAATTATCAAAGGAAAAAAAAAGTGAGTTGAAAGGAATTCCAATCAACTTGGGTTATGTCTGGGGAGTAAGACTGGGAGTTGGAATATGAGAGACTTCCTCTTCCTTATATGAATATTCTATTCAATCTCAATTAGTTTTTAAACCATGAACATGCATTTTTATAATCTATGTCTTTAATAATTACAAAAGAAGGTTTTTAAAAAAGATCTTCCTTACCCCAAGATCAAAGAAATGCTCACCTATACTTACTTTAAATTCATATGTCGGGCTTCCCTGGTGGCGCAGTGGTTGGGGGTCTGCCTGCCGATGCGGGGGACGCGGGTTCGTGCCCCGGTCCAGCAAGATGCCGCGGAGTGGCTGGGTCCGTGAGCCATGGCCGCTGGGCCTGCGCGTCCGGAGCCTGTGCTCCGCAACGGGAGAGGCCACAACAGTGAGAGGCCCGCGTACCGCAAAAAAAAAAAAAAAAATCATATGTCTTAAAAAAAATTACTTATATGCTTGAATTAACTCACCCAGGACTATAAAAGGGGATACATACCTAGAATTTGCTGCAGAGAATGACTGTTTCCTTTAAAAACTTTTTGATAAAGGAAACAAAACACTATTTGTAGAAAATCTAGAAGAGGGTGAAGAAGAAAATAAAAACCACTGGCAACCCACAGAAAACCTCAGTTAACATTTTGGGACATTTCCTGCAAGAGACAGGGTACCCATTAAGGTGGAATCTGGAACCTTTTTATAGTCTTTTGCTGATGACTTGATGCCATTTGTGGGGGACAAAGAAGGGGGGTCTGAAAGTTTGGGCTTCTTTTGTCTGGGAAATCCAGCAGAAAGGGTCATACACAATGGTAAGGCAAACATTCACCCATTGTTCACGGAGAAAAAAGTGAGGTCACCTTAATTCTGCAAGCAGATGTTGCAGACTGAGATATGAAGTGTCCTGCCATAGTGAGGATCAAGTGGTCTTTTAGCCAAACCCTTCCCTGAAGTACAAAGAGAAATTGGTTTCCCGGGAGTGTCTTGAACTCACCTGGGTGTCCCCTGCCACAGAATTATTTCAGATGGAATATTCTGTTTGTGTGGAGGGCACACACAGCCATGTGCGCCGGGGGTGGCTTGTCTGGGCCCAGCACCCCTTGGTAGCACACTGGGGGACCTAGGGACGAGAGCTGCCCGCCTTGGAATGGTTGGTAGGGAAGGGCTGGCTCCAGGTACCAAGTATGGGTGATGCTACTCTGCCCTGGTGACTGGCAGTGAGCTTCTTCTCAGGTGGCCCACGTTGCCCTGGGGCCTAAGAGGCCACCTTGCATTTGCAAACACTGCAGGACAGAGCCCAGCAGCAGACTGAGCAGACCCTGGGGACAGAAACATGCATGGATCCTTGGTCTCAGCTTGTAGGAGGTGGAGTCCAGAGTTGAACCCACCATGCCAAGCTCCTTCCCGGAAAGGAAGTAGGATAAATATCCTGTAGGCGAACAATTCTGTTTTAACAAGGAAATGAGGTAATCCATCAGGTTCAAACAGAATGAAGGGCTTAAGAAACCAAGAAATAAAAAGTTAAGAGAAGGATGTAGACTTCTTTAAGCCCGCCTGGCAAGAGGCAGAGATCAGCAGCTTGGTAATAACATCCTTAAGCCCCTAAAAGCAGAAGGGACAGTGGCATAGCTACCTGGAAGCAGAAGATGGAAGAAAATGTGATCCTGACATTTGAAGAAAATCAAGATGTCTGACTCGACCCTTCTCTAAGTCGTGTTAATTTCCTCAATGATGACATCAACTAAGGGAAACAGGAGGGAAAACGGCCAGGTTGGGAGAGGGGTGGGAAGAGCAGAGAGCTGAGGAGAAAGCTGGTCTGGTCCAATTTCCCAATCGTCCATAGATAAGGAAAACCAAGGCCCAGAGAAGGGATGTAACTTTCCCCACAGAACCAGACTCAGTGGCTAAGAAAGACTCTTGACGCCCAGTCTAGTGCTCTCCAGCCCTGCCCCTCAGAAGTGATCCAAGGCCAAAAAGGAGGAGGAGATTAAAGTCCTGGCAGAAGAGAGCAAAGTTACACACCCAAAAAGAATCACTCCCACCAGGCTCCATCACTTCTCAGCCTTGGAAAATCACTTAATTTTTTTTTTTTTTTTTTTGCTGCACCATGTGGCATGCAGGCTCTTAGTTCCCCCACCAGGTATTGAATCCATGCCCCTGCACTGGGAGCACAGAGGCTTAACCACTGGACCACCAAGAAATTCCCCCATTGAATGTTTTCGAGCTTCAATGTCTTCATCTATGAAATGAATCAGGAGGCTGGCAATATAGTAGGTATTTAACGGGGAATTCTTTCACTGCTCTCTGGACCATTCAGGGCTGGAGAGACACTGCTGGAAGGAGCTAGTATAAAGGGAGGCGTTAACAACCTCCCCGCCTCTGACCTTCCTTGGGCTGGTCAGAGTACAGGACATCATCCAGTGGTATAACCGAGTTGTGAACAGGCCCAGCACTACTCCCTGTCCAGGCACCCCTTACCTCAGCTTGGCAAGCCTGTGATGTCAACAAAGACCATGTATTCAGTACAGGGCCCCCATCTCCATGATGAACTGTCCAGAGTCCCAGCCACAAGGCCAGGGGTGTTAAGCATGCATGATGCCCAGGTGGCCTCCAGACGGTATGTCACGGGGAGGCGGTGAGTGCAGACAACGGCAGGGGGTGTGCTCTGGACGACTCACCCCACATCTTGCAACCTGGGCCGGAAGGAGGCCTTCCTATAGGCCCAACTTGACTGGCCAGTGTGAGATGGGCTGGGGCCACCTGGGTCACCTTCAGGTCACTGTCCAACTCCACGTCTAACAGGAAATCCAACGGCTGGAGGGCGACAACCACTCACCCCATGGCCTTCTCACGTCACACGGAGACCCTTCCACACAGCCTCATTCCTGGCCTCCCCATCCTAAAGTGAGAATTTGAGAGCCAGGGGAACTTCTGGTTGAAATCTGAGGTAGAAATAGGGGCAAGAAGCTCTGAGGAAAGCCCAAAGTCCGTGGAGAGACTAGAAGGTGGCAAGTTGGAGGCCCAGTTGCACCTCACTTCACGACAATGGGAGGTGTGGACACTTAACTCTGTCTACTCCTGGGCCCCTGAAGCTCAGAGTCTGCACGTCCCACCTGAGCTGGTATGTCCAGCGTTTGAGCTCACGCCCAAAGACGCCCTCCCCATCTTCTTCTCTCCGAGGGGCAGCCCAGCCTTCTGCCCCACCCAAGCCCTGTGCCAGGGGAATTTCCCCACCCCCAGGCACCATTCCAGGTCTAAACAGACCCCACTTCCCCAACCCCTAGTTACCTTCTAGGGTGACTCCAGCCAGTGGCCCTGGTGGAGGGAGCTGCCTCACAAGGGAGCCTGGAGCAGAGTCCAGGGCCCTGGAGTCCTGCACCCCGGTGCCCACGCAGTCTCCACCTGCCTGTCCATCCCTGAGTCCTCCCACAGAATGAGCTGAGTCAGGGGCAGGGAGGGGCCTCCACGTTTTATTAGGGATACGGCAGAAGCAGAGGCTGGAAGCAGAGCAGCCGCGTTTTTTAACAACAGATAAATTAACCGCAGTGCGGGGATGGGAGGAGGGGGCGCGGGCGGGTGGAGACTGGGCCAGGTGCTTTAATATAAAAAAAAAAAACAACAAAAAAGACAACAAATGGGCCCCAAAGACATGGGGCAGGAGAGGGCAGCACCATCCAGACAGCGGGGAGGGCCAGGGCAGACAGAGAGAAGGCAACTTGACCCCTCGCCCCTGAACTCCACCAGCACGGGGCTTCTGAGGCAGGGGAGCTGCCAGGGTGGGTGGAGATGGCACGGCTGGTGGGCAGGAAGCCCAGCACCACAAGATGGCTCAGCCTGAAGTGGGAGCTGGGGGCCGGGACACAGCGGCCTCGAACCCCCAGTCCCGCAGAGGAAGAGCCTTACTCTGGGTGAGAGAAGGGACCAAGGGTGGGGTCTCTCCCTGAGCTGAGAGCGGTCATCTCCTCCACAGCAGCGGCGGGCAGTGGGGTGTGCCGGGGACCCCCTTCACCTTCTTGTCCATCTACCTCCTTGGTCCCTTCAGGGAGGGGCCCCACGGGCCCCGAGGGGGCGGGGCGTGAGGCGAGCCGGCCCAGTCCGCGGTCTCCGACGCCAGAGCGGGGCGTGGCCGCTGCAACCGCTCAGCCCTGACTCCCGCAGGAGGACAGCGAGTCATAGAGTGAGTCACTGAGAGACTCTGAGGTCTCCAGCCCCGGGGCACCCCCACTGGCCACTCTCCCTTCCTCGCCCACGTCCGATGTGCTGGGGGTGCGGCTCCCCCCAAACGCTGGGCCCTGGGGCGCAGGAGCTGGGCGGCTGGGCTCCAGGCTCCGCTTTCCGTCCACGTCCACGGGCAGGGCCTGGGGAAGGAGGGAAGGCTCGGGAGGAAGCTCCTCTCACCCTCCCCGCCTGAGAGGCTCTGCCCACCTGACGGGGGCGCTGCAGAGGAAGCAGGCTGGAGGCGCGACTGAGCACAGTCCTACAGTCCCACCAAGGTTCCGGAAGGGAGAGAAGCCCTTTCCCCAAGAGGGGTGTGAGAAGGTGGGGGTGGGGGGTGGGCTGCCCACTCAGTCCTCCTCCCGGACAGGGCTGTACCTCACCCCATGTCGTTCCCTCCTGCCCTCCAGTGCTGTTCCCTTTTCCCCTTCGGCCATGCTCACCATGGGGGTCCTGGGCAGCCCCTCCAGTTGTCGGGGTGGGCATAGGAAAGGGTCAGAGGAGCCGCTGGCTGCCCTCGCGTTGGGGAAGGTCCAGTTCTTGGCCAGCTGGACAGGAGCAGGAGGGCCTGGGTCTTCACAAGGATCTATCCGGGGACAAGGGGAAGGTGGGTGGTGGGTGGAGCTCCCAGAGAGGCCCACCCCCCTGCCCAGGCACTCACCGTGGGGACAGGTCTGATGGCCCCGGTGGCCCGGAGCAGCGGTGAGCAGGGCGGGGAAGGCCGGCATGCTGGGGTGCCGCCCGCTCACCAGCAGCTCCTCTATGCCAGGCACCTCACGCTCCAGTGTGTGGGCACGGCGGGGGACTTTGGTAAGGGGTGGGGGCCGAGCTGGGGGCACCCCGGCTGGGGGCTCCAGCCGTGGTGGCTTGGTCTTGGGAAGATTCTTACTGGGGGTCCCACTGCTGCCATGGTCTGGGGGCGGGAAGGTCCCAATGCCACTGTCCAGAGTTCGAGTCAAAGAGCCACAGGCTGGGGAGGGGAGGGGAAGTCAGGGATGTGAAGCTGCAAGCGGCTCAGCCCCTCTGCTTTCTTCTGGCTTTCTGCCCCTGCCCAGGTCCCACCCTTGGTCAGGGCCCCTCCTGGCCCCACCGGCTCAGTCACCCCTGCCTGCCCCGCCCCACCTCCCCTAGTCCTGGGGAAGAGGGCAGGGCAGGTACCCTATTAGGCTGGGAGGGATTTATTCCTGTGCAGCCCCAGTGCCCACTGATGCTTGGCACCAAGATGCTATAGGGCCTGGCACCTGCCGTGGTGACAGGAAGGAGTAAAGCAAGCAGGGGGTAAGGGGCAGGTCCCAGCCTTGGCCCTTGACCCTGCTGACCTGTGAAATGTGAGGTGGGCACTGGCTCAGCCAGACTGTCCTCTGAGGGCATCTCTTCCCGCCTCCCCGGCTCGCTGCTTGGCTGTACAGGGTACAGGAGACCTCAGAGCCCATTCCTCCTCCACCCTAATCCCCTCCATCAGGATCCTTGGAGTATGGGTCTGAGAGTCCTGGCAACCTGCCAGCCCTCAGGAGGCCCTCTCCCCTCCCCATTCTCCTCGGAGACCAGAAAGGCATCCAGCAGCTTCCAGGTCCCAGGGAAGGGGAGCCCTCCAGGTGGTAAGAGACCTGGCAGGGCCACAGAGCCAGGCCCTCCACCCAGCCTGCGCCCCAGGAACTTACCTTCCCAGGAGGTTTTCCGCAGCCCTGAAGAGGGCCCACCAGGCCATTTCGGGGCCCACAGGCCGGCCAGGGGTTCTTGGGGTCAGAGGACACTGGCTGGAAATCGCCATACTCAGGTTTGGGCTCCCGCCAGCTCTTGGGGGGCAGCTCCTTGCCATCCACCCTAGGGGAAGCAGTGCAGATTGCTGTGAGGGAGGCCTGAGCCCACTCACACATTCTGGCCTCCCTCCTTCCAATGGTGCTGGGCCTAGTGAGGCACCCACTGCTCCCTGCCCCTGGGGAAGAGGACATATCCCTGGTGGCTTCCCACATCAACCTCTCCTGACACCAGGAACAGGCCAAGACCCCAGGGAAAACTCCAGAGGATCAGCAGGGGCAAGGAATATGGGAGAACTCCCCCAAAGCTACTCAGGGTCAAGCCTAGAGACCTCTCCGACAATGTCTGCCGGTAGAGAGCAAACTCGGTCACATACTGGTCCACACGCGACACACCCTGCCTACCCCAGCTGACTTTGAGCGCACTTGCTGTCCAAACCACACCCTACCTGGAGCCCGATTCCTGAGGACATTCTGCCTTACCTGGCCCAGACACAGCAACCCCAAGATGGGGTAGCCCCTTCTCTAAACCACAGCTCCTTTTGCCGAGTCTGTGGCAGGTGCCAAAGGGCAAGATGGGAAGGGAGCCCTCCTTTTTCTACAGGATAGAAAACCCCGGAGGGAGAAGACCTGCATCAGCCCAGTTAGGTACTAGCACTCCCTTAACTACTGCAATGCTGCACCTCAGACAGGCTGCCTCACCTGACTCAAGACAGTCCAAGAAAATGTGGACTGTTAACTCTTCTCAAATGAGAAACTGGGTCTCAGCAAGTTGAATATCAGCCAGCCACAGAGGAGGGGAGCTGGGACACAAACCCCTGGCCCCTTGTTCGAGGCCCCAGTCTCTCCTCTGGGCCAGGCCGTTAACCCTCAAGATGCTTTGGTGCCATTTCATTTGACCTCCTACACCCTTTGACCTCTGGGAAGCCCCAGTTCCTGGGAAAGGCAGTCCCAACCCCAGGGATGCCTGTGTAGGGAAAAGGGCCCCCAGCCACCAAGCCCCTGCCAGCTGGTCCCAGGCTCTCACCTGTTGAGCAGCTGTTGCATGAAGGTGTCCGCACCCTGGTACATGCCGGCCAGCTGGCCCTGCACCTGCCCCAGGCCTGCACCGGGCCCTGGCGCTGGTCCCCCGGGCCGTGGCCGGGCCCTGCTGCTCAGGTAGGCCTTCTCCTCCTCCAGTGCCCGGCGCAGGTCTTCCGCCTTGGCCATCAGCTTGGAGATGTTGAGGCTCTCGGCCTCCAGCTTCCGGGCTTCCATCTTGACCTCCTTCCGGAGCGGGGAGCCCCCGCCAGCCCCTTCCTTGCCCTTGGCGGCCTCTGTGCGGCGGTTCAGCGCTGGCAGCTTGCTCTTCTTAAGGCCGAACCAGCTGGCGATGCTGCTAGCGTTGCGGTGCTTGGCCTCGGTGCCAGGGGCCCGCTCCTGGCCCTGGAGCCGCAGCATGTTCTCCTCGATGCCCTTCATCACCTTCTCCTCAATGGCCGAGTGTGGGGCCCGCCCCTCAGGGCCTGGGCCTGGGTCGGCAGGGCCAGGTGCTGGGGGTGTGGGCTGGGCTGTAGTGCCGCTGCTGTCTGCCCAGGGTGGGCCCTTCCCCTTGTCAGGCTTGGGGGCCTCCTTGGTGGCTGGTGGGGCCACAGGTCGGGGCACCACCTTGGTGGGCGACTTAGAAGGCAGCTTTGTCGGGCTGCCATGGGGACTCTTATTGGGCTTGCCGAGGCTGGGGGTTGAGGTTGGCACTTTGGCAGGGGTGCGGGGTACCTGGGGGCACAGGGCCCCTGCCAGCCGGCTCTTGGCCAGCTCCACTTTGGTGAGGCAGCTCCTTGGTGAGACAGGCTCCAGGTCCACCCGGGCCCCCATGGAGTGGGAAGAGTAGACTCGGGACCCAGGGTCCCCCAGGAGCCCAGATTCCTGTTGCTTCAGGCTGCTTGTGCCTAAGGCTACGGCCCCCCGCAGGGCCCCCTTGGCTTCTGGCTGCTCAGGGGGCCTGGAGGCAGAGGGCGCTGTGTCTCCAGTGCTCTCCCCTGACTTCCCTCCTCCCCGGGCCTTCTCGGTGCCAGGCCTAGCTGGCACCCCATTCTTTTCTGGGCCCTGGGGCCCCTCGGGGCCAGTCTTCAGTTTCCCCAGGGCTGCTAGTCTGTCCCGCAGAGGTGTGTAGCCAGGATCCCCGGGTCGCCGGCCCGGCCCCTGACCAGGTTTCTTGGACGAGCTGCCGGGGGTCCTGCGGCCAGGGTGGGGAGACTCCGAGCCTGCCTTGTCCAAACTCTTCTCCTGGGCACTCTCATAGGGGCAGGATTCTGGGTGGCAAGGGCTGGAGGGGACTCCAGGGCTTCTGAGGACCTCAGGGGCCCGTGGCACCTCCAGAGTTAGTTGTGGGTAGGTGGGCACCTGCAGCGGGGATGGAGGTGGCTCTGGGGAAGGCCCCCTAAAGGTGCTCCGGGAAAGGTCCAGAATGTTCTCGTAGCAAGGAGACACCGCTGGTCCCGGGGAAAGCGTAGTGGACAAGGCTGGCTGGGGAGGTCTGAGCTGTGCAGAATCTGGGGTTGTGGGGCAGGGTGACGGGCTGGTGGGCAGACCCTGCACCCCCTCTGGGGACAGCTCTCCTCCGCCCAGACCCCTACGGGCCGGCAGCGGGGAGGGGCTGCCATCTGAGCCACTGTTCCGACAGGGGATTCGGGAGTTCCGGGGGAGCTGGGGGCTGAGCTGGGGGCCCCCTGGGCTGGGTACCTTCTCTGAGGCTGGAGGCAGCTTTAGAAACTTGAGACCTCTGGCTGGAGAGGGCAGAAGGGGTCCTTGGGCTTCCCCGGGAGAAGGGGAGCCAATTTGGAGCTTGCTTTTCACCTGAGATGAGGAGTGGGGGTGGCCAGACCGTGAGCCCAGGGGGGCGTCCCCTGCACCCATGAACACGCTGAGGAAGGGGAGAGGCCCCTGGGCCTCTGAGGTAGCACCAAAGCCCGGCCTGTGGGCCTCCGGGGTACCCCCTCCCCAAGCTGACTTGGGGAGGCCTTTGGACTTGGACAGCTGTGGGGGCCCCTGGTCTGGGGAGGATGGCTGCCTGGGACCCGGCTGTTCCCCGCCGAGTGGGCAAGCGGCCCCGGCCAAGAAGGCCTGTAGGTAAGACTCCGTGTCCTCGAGGAGCTGGCCCAGGTTCAGCTGTTTGCGGGCCAGGGCCCCGAGCAGGGTGTCAGGGCTGGGTGCCTCGTTGGGGTCACCTGCTTCATCAGAAGAGGAGGAGGAGCTGCTGCCTGGGGCGCAGGGTGGCCCGGAACCGGTGCCCTGGGCCTGTGGGGAGCCCCTACTAGGGCCCCAGGGCCGCCCAGCACTCTCTTCCTCCCCTGGGCCCCCTAAGAGGCGCTCCCAGTGCAGCAGGCCTCCCAGGCTACCAGGACCTAGTAGCAGGTAGGGGGCCCAGGGAGAGGGTTCAGGCTGAGGTGGGCCACATAGCTCGCCATTGATGGGCTCTGGGGAGCCGGAACCCTCGCCTGGAGGCGGCCAGGGGGTGGCAGGTGAGCACAGAAGCAAGGGGTCAGTCTCTTCCAGGGCTCTCAGCACCTCCAGGATCTGGGCTTTCTTTCGAAGGAACGGGGATAGGGCCTCCAGCGCTGGGGGTGGGGCGGCCGGGGGTCCTGGGCCTCCTGGCCGCAGCTGCTGCTCCCAACACACCTTGGGGGAGAAATGGCATGAGGAGGAGACTGTGTGCAGGCCGGGACCCGAGCTGGCATAACTGAGTATGCCAGGAACAGAGCTGGCCTGGTTTGTCTGTGTCCCCAAAAAGGAACTGATAGCTTCTGGGATATGCTGGAAAGCTTCCCCAGGAGTCTCTGAGTCCGGGTTACCCCAGCTGTCCTTCCTGGCACACCTGGGGTTGGGTGGGCACCCATCTCCCTTTCTGGTTATCTCAGCACCACTTGCTACCAGTATTTGTGGGTCAACAGGGCTGACCACCTACAACCCTGGTATCTATGTTTGCCCCAGGGGAGGGAGGCCTGTCCATTTCTCAGGCTCCAGAAAGAACACAGACTCAAGAAAGGGATGTGATGTGGCCAAGTCCTAAGTCAGTTGCTGCAGGCAAGCCCGGGCCTCCTCAGGTCAGGCAGCTGTCCTGCTCAGCTGATCCCCGTGGAGAAGCAGACTGGGAATGACTCCATTGCAAACCCTTTCCTGCTTCTCCCAGGCCCCTTCTTAGGCCCCGTCTAATCTGGTACAGTGGTTAACTACATGGGCTCTAGAGCCAGATTGTAGGGGTTCAAGACCCAGGTCCACTGCTTAACTAGTTATATAACTTTCAGCAAGTTATTTAATCTCTAAGCTTCATTGTATCACCTGTAAAATAGGATGGTGATTATGTTTAATCTCACAAAATAAGATGAATGAAACCAGATATGCAAAAGAATGAATGAGTAATAGTTCTGGACTGGGATAAGTAAATATGTGTATGATTATAAATTTATGCCAAAAATTACCAAAAAAAAATATAAATGAGATCCAGGTGTCCAGCACAGTGCCTGGCACAGACTAAGAGCGCAGGAAGTATTAACTATGAGGCTGACTGCTGTACCATAACGCCTCTGCTCACGAGACCAGTGGCTGGGGGTGGGGATCTGTTTTTCTTGGTACGAGGCTGACAGCTGAGGGCTCACACCCAGCCTGGACAAGAATCTGTGTGCCCGGAAGCAGCCCTTCCCCTGGGACTCATTAGGAAACAGCCGTGGAGCACCGGCTGACGAGCCCGGAGCCAGCGGAGCCACAGACCACAGTGCCCAGCGCTCCTACCTCTCTCTGCCCAGCACAGCGCCCCAGAGGCAGCGAGGTGGCCGGTCCCTCAGCGGAGCTCAGGGAGGGAGAGGCTGGTGGCTCTGAAGGCAGCTGGAGTGGGGCGAGTGGGATCTGCAGGGGAGAGGCGAGGTTAGCACAGGTGCTGTCCGTCCCAGGTCCCTACTCCCACAGGAAGCTATGGCTTCCCATCCAGGGGCAGGGAAGCATTCTTCCAAGTCTGTTCCTTGGGTGACATCTCCCGGCCCAAGGTGTGGCTCTCACCACTTGGTCAGAGGAGCCTCGGCAGACCACAGCACAGGTAGATTGAAGACGTGCAAGCCCAGGTGGCTGGGAGGTGGGACAGGGTAGGGAGATCTGGAGAAAGAGGAGTGCCCCTGGGCCAGCAGGCAGTGGCAGGCCTAACCCAGGTGTCCAGCGAGCCTCCAGGACCCTCTGCTTTTCTGAGGGGCCTCCTCCCTGATTACAGAGAGAGTGAGCCTCGAGGCCCCTTCTTGTTCTGACTACCCGTAACCCAGCATCCACGGGGTTGGCTGAGACTAAGGGAAGAGGCATTTGTTACTGGGTCCTGGAAAAGAGATGGTGGGAGTTATCACTTCTGTCTCCCCTGAATGGCCTCTTGTGAGATCTCTGCTCTGAGGATTACAAAAGTAGTACTGTTTTTGGCTGCACCACACGGCATGTGGGATCTTAGTTCCCCAACCAGGGACCGATCCTACGCCCCCTGCAGTGGAAGAGTGGAGTCCTAACCACTGGACCGCCAGGGAATTCCCACAAAAGTAGTACTTAATCATGGATCACTTCTCTCTCATTCCCCTTCTGCTAGGCATGTCGACTAGATACAAGTCAGCTTTAACTCTCCCTGTCTCATTCTCCATGGCTGTTAAATCCTGTCTCTGCGGTGTCTCCGCCTCCCCTCCAGCCTGGCCAGCTGCAGCCTCTCCTGCGGCCCACGATCCTCACACCTCTAGCCTGCTCAGCATTTCAGTCTCTCTGACCTGGCTGGGTGGCTTTTCAATCTCCTGTGTACCAGGCAGCCTAAAGCATCTTTTTCTTCTTTGTCTAAAGCGTCTCTGTACTTATAGCCTCCTCTGCCTGCCCACTGCCTCCAGAGACAAGTCTGAAGCCCTCTGCCGGCATTCCGGCCGGGCCTGCTGGTCCTTCCCTGACACCATCCCCAGCTCTCTCTCACTCACTCTTTACACATCCTTTGCTCAAGTCCAGCTAAACAACTCTTGGCTCCCTAGGATTCCCTGCTCTGTTCCTTCCACAGGGAACCCCTTCTCCCAGACCCCTACTGCAGTCTTTTAAAATCTCCCATCCATCAGGGCCCAGGTCTGACGTCACCTCCTTCAAGGAACCCTCCCCAGCCCATCTCTGATGGCCTCTCTGCCCCTTGGGCTCTTGGTCAGCAGTGTCACACTCTGTAGCCCTGCCTTAGTGTCCAGCAGCCCCAGCTCTCAGCAGTTACGTTCGCTCTGCACAGGCCACAGCTCTGTCCAATTCCATATCTGTTGGCAAAGGCACTGCTCACAGTAAGAGCTTAATTAGCATTTGCTCAATGGAGCCTCCATCCTAGGGAAGCACAACTTGGAAATAACATTAATAATGACAACTAGCCACCAGTCATTGACTATCTACTACGGGCCAAGCACTAGATATTATCTCATTTAATCCTCACAACAACTTGCAATAGAGGTATTTTTATCCCCATTTATAAGGGAAAAAACCTGTGGTTTGTGTGGTTAAATAATTTACCCAAGGTCGCACAGCTAAGAATTAGATAAGTTAGGGACCCAATCCAAGTTTATCTGAGGCCAAGGTTCGTGCTCTTTCCATTATGTCATGTTACTTCTGGGGAAGATCAATCTATGGTCCCAAACCCCAAAATTCATTAAAAAATTCCCAATTCAAATCCCAGAATTCATTTAAGTAAAAAACAAATGATTTCAGGATGATCTTCACCTCTGTTATCATCAGTCACTGAGAAGGGTATGGACAACAGGGTAAGCTTGGCTGGTGTGGGTCAGGTCTCTGGGGATTCCTGGGTCAACCCTACAGTAGGGACAGACCCAAGGCAGGGGGAGCTGCAGAGTCACTGCCGCTGATTCACCCAGGTCTGCACCGGCCTGGTGAGACAGGGGCTGCAGAAAGGCCATGGTGGTGAGACGCTTTCCCTGCCAGGGGTCAGGTTTCCCAGAGAGCTGAGGGCATCCTGCTCAGGATCTGGGAGCCAAGAGCTGCCTGGTTTGCATCACAGACACACAAATTCAGACATACACACAAGGCGTTTCTCTCCCTGTCAAGGTCGGGGTGGGTTGGCGGTGTGCTGGTTGACCTCAGAACCCACCGTTCACCTCAGGTACCTGGAGCCGCTTCTGACCCACCCAGGTCTCACCCCATCCTTGGGGCTTCCTGACAGAGTGGACCCCAAGTGACATCTTAACTGAGCCCAGGACTTATTCCCAGTAGCCTCCTGCTTCTCCTGGGTAAGGCAGGTTTCAGGGCTAGAAGCAGGGACAGCGTCTGCAGCCATGCTTGGGTCGGTGGGTGAGCACATGCAGCTAGGCGTGCAGAGAGTCATCCAGGTGAAGTGCCTTTCCTGACCTCTCTGTGACACCAAGCACTGCCTTACACCTGGCCCCACCCCTGCCCCTGGCCAAGAAGAAGGCAACGCAGTGGCCAAACGGGCCCCTTGGGAGCTCGAAATAATGGCATTTTCAGCCTCCACCCATCTGAAGGAGGAGGAAGCAAGGATCTTTTCTGTCAACAAGAAGGGATACCGTCCAGCTGGGCGGGGAGCACCTGGGAGGTGGGGGAGAGCCAAGCTTAAGGGAACTCAGGAAGTTTCTCCCTCATCTAAGGCTCAGATCTATCAGGCTAGGTCGGCCTGCCCTGGATGGCCACAGCCCCCAGAATGGAGGGCAATGGCTGACGGCCTACTTCTGTAGGTGTCTGGGAGAAGAGAGGGTGATGATATTGACAGGGCTGGGGGGAGGCAGGAAGCGGAGATGTGAGGAAGGAAGGAGAATCTCTTGTGCCCACCTGAGGGAGGGAGCCTGCTGTGAGCTGAAGTTTCTGCTGAAACAGGGCGCTCAGCATCTGGTTCTGCCGTTCCAGGTCAAATACCCTCTTCTTCAGCTTGATGCACTCCTCCCGCAGGTCCTGCCACCCCCGGGAGGTGGAGGAAGACAAAGAGAGGATGGTGGGGAGAGGGAGAGTGGTATGAGCACAGTCGCCTTCATCAGAGCAGCGGGCACTCCTGCTGGGCATGCCCTTCTCTTGCAACCTCCTTCTTTGAGGGAGCTGACCCTGCCTATGTTTACGGCTATCACATCTTCTGGGGATGGTAAATTTTCTAACGTTTACCACCCCTGGTCAGAGGTAATTCCGTTCCCTTTGGCAACTTTCACAATCCTGGAGCCAATCCCCTGCCTCTTAGAAAGCACACATCAAAGAAGGGCCCATATAAGGCAGAGGAAGACCTGGGGGTCAGTGGCCCACATGTCAAGAAATTACCCACACTACTCGAGTAAATATTTAGATGTCACCTTATGCTTACAACATCAACATTGCTATCAGGGCCATCGAAACCTGGAGAGACTAGCTGGGGCCAGGATAATAGAAGGATTCAAGCCCAAATCAAAGTTACCATAGCTCAGAGACTTGGCCTTACCTAGCCAAGTATGAACTGTCCAAGACAGAGAAAGGGGACTTCACTGGAGGGCCAAGACGCCATTTCCACCCTCCTCTATTCCCTATCTAAACAGGTACAGGGGTCCACAGGAAGGCCCTCCCCTGCTGTACCCAGGGCCTCCTCCCAGGGCATCTGGGCTCAGGGCAGAGGGTGAGAAAGTCTCTTGTGGCCTTTTACCTTTTGGTTCAGCAGCGCCTGCACCACATGGTTGGCAACCTGGGGACAGAAAGGCAGAGCTGAGGAAGAGCTGTCAGCCAACCCAGCCTCTGCCTGGAATCGACAAGCTATCCGCCCTGTGGGGAGCATCAGTTCCACAGACCTCGTCCAGACAGCGCTCGTAGGTCTCCCGCTGGTTTTCATTGGCCTGGGCGAGTGCCGAGTTCTCTGCCTGCAGGAAGGAAGAGGAGGGCAAATAGGAAGCTAAGGGATCATTCTTCCCCCGGGCAAGTCCCTCTTGGGGAAGGGGAGGCAAGGAGCCTACTAGCTCTACCCCTGCCCCAGCTCTTGGCTCTGGTCTGATTCTGCCAGGGGGAGGCCTGCAGACCCAGGGCATGAAGAAGGCAGAGCTGAGATGGCTGGTCTTTTGTTACCCCAACTTCAGTCAGTGAGGCTGCAGGGGCTGGGGAGACAGAGCAACCAGGAGGACCGAAGGTGGGAGGTGCCAAAAGTAACCCTTATTTCCCTGGGGAGAGGGCAGAGGAGCCTGGAGGGAGGAGGGCAGGGTCTTAGGCATGTAGTAAAAGGCCTAGTTTAAGGATCCATGTCTTTGTCCCTCAACTCCTGAGACCTTTCTGTGGCCTCTGCGGCCACCCCTTTCCTAGAGCAGGGGCATGAAAGGGGAGAAGAGGGGTAAAGAAGGGAGACATTCTGGGGGTTAGGATGGCCCCCCTTGCGCACGCCTCTTGTCCTGCGCTGGACGCAGGCTGCAGAGCAAAGAGCAAGGAAAGGGGTTCTCAGAGGGGCTCTGCTAAAGAAACGTTCAGCTCTGCTCCAGCCTGGCAAAGCAGGCTGAGGGGAAGGCCCCCCCGCACCCCAGAACCCACCCAAGCTCCCCAGGGCTCTGGCCAGCACAGCTGCCCCCCGCCGCCCCGTGCCCCACCTCCAGCTCCCGCAGCCGGTGCAGGAGCTCCTGGCAGGTGCCCGGCTCCATGCTGCCCTCACCACCCTCTCCTGGCTTCGGGTTTCCAGGGCTCCCGGCCGGCTGGTCCATGGCCTCCGACATCAGGCCCTGGGGACAAGTGAGAGAAGCCCCGCAGGCTACTCCAGGGCATGGGGAGATGAGCGGAGGCGGAGGAGGACAGAGATGAAAGTTGTCAGTATTCTCGGAGTTTGGATCAGTGTGACCCCCGTGCCACGGACACTGTAACAACTCAGGGTCAGGCTAAGACTCCTGCTCACGGGACAGATACATAGACACACTCTTCCCATCTCAAGAACAGAGACCATTGTTTTATAAAACCCATAATTGCTCTCGCCCTCTCACAGGTCACACAGACACTGGCCAGGAGCCAAGAAACCTGAATTCTCCGCTGACGCTGGCCTCAGACTGGCGCCCGGTATCCTCTCGGGCAGAGTGGGAGGTGGCCTGCAGGCCTCCAAGGCTCCCTGCTTGCAGCGAGGCCCCGGGGGACCAGCCTCTGTGCATGCTGGGCCCTCCGCAGGGGTCTCTTGACTGGGTCAAGAGACCCAGTCCCCCTACTGGGGTCCCCCTACTGCTTGGCCAGCTCCTTCCTATTCATTTTCCAGGGCCCCCACTCCAAGGCTGGGTCAGGTACTGCTCCCGCACGGCTCTGTGACTGTCCCCCAAGACTCTGTGAGGGCAGGGTCACTGTCTTCACTTCACTGTCCACACTCACACTTCTTGGTGTGATACATGGCATATAAGAGACAGACTGACAGCTGTACAGACTAGTGTGTCATTGCCTGAGCACACAGAGCCAGGGTTCTGACCTGTATCGCATTATGTGATCCCCGCCCCCAAACTGTTGCCATAGTGACTGGCTTTACCTGATTAGTCCTCACCTTCCATTTGAGTTTCAATTTCTCAGCTAGAGGAAAGTACTCATTTCCTTCCTCTGCACAAATATTGCAGAAATTTCCAGTAGATGGGAAACCCTTCCTAACATAAAAGGCGGGAGGCCCCCAGTCTACCACCAACTACTTGCCTCCCTGACCCACTGCAGCTCCCACAAAAGGGGCTTTAGCACTTTGGGACCAAGGAAGAGAGGAGCCCTCGGCAGCTATCAGGCATCTGAGTGCTCTTCCCCCCCGTGGGGCACAGGGGCTGCCTCTCCCACCCCAGCCCTCCTCCTCCAGTCCCCACCACCAGCACGCACAGGCTCCACAGCCTCTCACCTGTCTCTGCCTTCTCACCCAGGCTGGCACACTCATGCAAGCAGCCAGAATGGTCACCTTGCCTGTGGAGACACAGAGGGAGACGACGTCAGCCATGCATTTATTGGGTTCCTGCGGCCTGGCATCCCGGGCCATAGGGATAAACAAGCCAGAGAAAGCCCTGCCTTTATGAGGCTCCCATTCTATTGGGGGAGGCAGGTAATACCAGATAAACCAATGAACAGACATCCGGTTCCAAGAAGGCTCTGGAGGTGACAGCAAGGCAGAGACCTGAATGAAGGCTGGATGAAACCCTGGAATGGGAAAAGCATTCCAGGCAGAGGAAAGAGCCAGTGCAAACATCCCCAGCTCTCAGCCAGAGGGGAATGAACAGCCACACAGCCCTTCCAAAATTCTTCTCTAATCCTCATAACCACAAAGGGAATTAAGTGCTATTATCAACACCTATATGTGAGATGAGGAAACTGAGGCACAGGAAACTACACCACATACCCAGAGTGCATCCTGTGTGCTGGCGCTTTCTCATGCATCATCAATCGCATCTGATTCTCCTACTGACCTCGTAAAAGGAGGGCAGGGCGGGGGTGCCAGCCTGGTCTGAAGCAGGCTCCACATCATATGGCAGGTTCACAAAGCACAGTGGATGGGCCTGGGTCCCCCCTTCCTATGCAACCTCTCTGTACACACACGTTGTACTGTGTGCTCTGTGTACCGGTGCTCTCAGAGCTTTGCAGTTAGAGAGATCTGGGTTAGAATCTGACTCTGCAAAATCTGTTCCTCACCTGTAAAATGGGGATAAGAATACTTAGTCCAAAGGGTTGTTGGAGCATGAAGTGAGATATGTAGAATGTCTTGCATGGACTCAATAAATGGAGGCTTTTCACGGTTTGGAGCCCACTGCTACTTCAGCGGTTCACTTGCAAGTGGACTCTGAGTCCCAGGCCCGTCACCCAGGGGGTCTGAGCAGGAGGGTCTCCTGAAGATGTGAGGTGCTGCCCCTCTGCCCTGCCCTCAGGGGCCTCCTCCTCTTCAACCCTGTCCCTGCCAGCCCTCCAGCTGCAGGGCCAGCCCAGTCCTCATTCTTCTCTGCCTGATACCCTAGAAAGAGAAAGGGTAACAGCAGAAAGGGAGAATGCTCCTTTCTGGGTGGGATGGGGGAGGGAGAGAGAACAAGCATGTGTGCACAATAATGGGAAGGGGGCTTCTGAAAACCAGAATAAAAGGAAAAACTGTGTAATGCGTATTTTTTAACACTCTGCCACAATCTAAAGTCCTTTGTTATTTTAACGTCATAAAAAATGTATCAAGTATAACTTCATTTTGCTCGCAACATTATCATGCATGATATATTTAGAAATGGACAGGCCTCGAAAGAAACGAAAAAAATTCAGGAAAAATCCTCCTTCCCACATACACAAATAGAGGTTAAAACCAAAAAAGGCCTCGGGTTACCTCCACCATTGGACCAGTTCCAGGCCACCCCACATCACCCATCTCTGGGCCACCATCCTCTTGCCAGGCAGAGGCTCCCACTGCTCTAGGAGAGGCCTGTCCCCACAGATCACCAGTGTCCCCTCAGCCCCCTCACCACTTAGTTCCCCAGTGGACACCTCCAGGAGTAGAGGGGCTGGGGTGGGGAGTGTAAAAAAAAAAAAAACAGGGGGATGAAGGAGGGGAGTAGGATGAACAGGGCAGTGTCTGGAGGCCAGAAAAGGGAAAGATAAAACAGTAGAAACCTCAAGTCTTTGTTTTCTTCACACAACAAAAACCAAACTAAGGGTGAAGGTGGTTTAGGAGGGTATCTTATCCTAAAAAAAATAAAATAAAATAAAAATAAAAAAGCATCCAGCTTAGGCATGAGGCCCAGACTGCGAGGGCTGGCTGTGCAGTAGGTATATGTGGCTTTGCGTGTTGAGGAGGGCAGGGACCCAACACACCCCACAAAGCCAACTACTGCCACCCTCCTGATCTGAGCCCCTGGGGCTCCCAGGGCAGGGAGGCCTGAGTCCCACTGTGACCTAGGGGAGACCCTCCAAGGGACAAGCCCCCTAAGTGCAACAACTTGGTCATGGGGGTCGGTCTCCGTATCCTGAGCAGGGCCTGGGAGAGGCTCCGGAAATGTCGGCTGAAGGCAGGCTGTGACTCAGCCCCACCTTGGGGAGAAGTTTTCTGCCCTCTGCCAAAGTGGTCCAGCCAACTCAGGGCGACGGGTTTTCTCTGTGTCTGCAGGGCCACAAGCAGAGGGCAGGCAGGAAGCTGTCAGCCTGGGTTGCTGAGTCACTGGGAAGAGGCCTGCATTTAAACTTGGCGCTGGGGAGACAACGCACGCACGCTGTGAGCAGGGTGGGTTTGAGCTCAAGATTTCTATGGTGAAAAGAAAACTTCCTGCATCTTTACCCTCCTCTAGGGAACATTAAGATCGAGAGAGATAATACCACCTCTAGCTCCCAATCTGAGCCCAATTAGGAATTTGGCCCTTCAGAGTCTGGGTTTTCGACCCAAATCTCATGAGAAAAAACAAAAACAAAAAAAACAAAAAAAACTCAGGTCGGTTCCCCAGTGGCTGTCCCTGCAGGGTCAGTGGCACCCACCTCCCCAGGGCCGAGATCCTCCCTCAGGCCCCACAACTGCTACTCACAGCTTCTGTGCTCAGCTCACCTGGGGCCCAGGAAAAGCCCTGGCTTGGGTTTTTCAGGATGGCCCTGGTTTCAGGCATTCCTCTGGTGGTCCCACACCATATCCCAGATGGTGGATGTGGGTCTGGAACACATGGTGCTGGCCAGGATGGGTAGGGATGGAGCTGCAGTGGGTGGGAGCTCGAGCTTGAATGGGAGGCTTCTCCCGCCAGAACTGCCAGCGGGCAACCCCGCCCCGCAAAAGCCTGATTCAGAGGGAGGTGACCTCAGTGCTGAGGGGAGGGAGGGGGAGGAAGGGAGGAAGCGCAGAGCCTCTCTGGCCCTCCTTCAGAGACAAGGAGGGAACAGCTGCTCAGGGGGTTTCTGGGTAACCCGGGGATGAGGTGGGTGCAGCCCCATCCCTGAGTGAATCTGGGTGACCACTATCTCTTCAGCCTAGTCAGTTATGTAAGGCCCCCCAGCCCCAAAAGATGGGACTGTCCTGGCCTTTCAGTCAGCCAGATCAAAGGAGTAGAGTCTGCAGCTCCCACCCCCTCTCCAGCCAGGGCACCAGCAAGACCCCTCCCTAAACTCAGAGTCCAGGCCTGGGAGGAAGGGGCCAGAGAGATGGCAGCAAGCCTGTCCTCCAGGCTCCCTTACCCTGGCCCTTAGCCAAGGCCTTTGGGCCCTGATGAGCCCCTCGCTCACCAGCTGTTCCCCCCGGGAGTCCTCTAGGGAAAAAAGCAAGGGGCCAGGAGGTGGGGGAGGGGTGGGCAGCTGTGGGAAGGCAGAGATGGAGCTCACTTTAATAACAGAATCATCCGTAACACAACCATTTCCCCTCTGCTCCCCCCATCCCCCAGCTGCTTTCTGAAATCCCAGTCACACCCAAAAGTCTACTTGTAAACAGCAACTTCTTCACCCACAGCAAACGCTCCCTTCCAGACAAGATCAGCCCTTGCGCTGCCCTGGGGTGTGGGGAGGAAAATGAGGACTGAGGCCCCAGGGCATTCCTAGCCTGAAAGTGGCCACCTTAATCTGGCCTAAAGCATCTTTTAGCCCTAAGTATTCCAGCTGGTCTCCTCCCCACTCAGGGAAAGAGGCAGACAAGAATTTCCTTTCCTCCTCCAGACAACTGGCCCCAAGACACAACAGCCCTTCTGAGAGGCAAGTGTCCATGGGGAAGGGGCCCACTGCACCCCTCCTCCAACTTCCTCTTCACAGGCACTCCAAGAACCTCCAGACCATGGTATAGGTTCTTTCAAACTGACAGTAGGACAGTCCCCTGCCTTTCCAGGCAGGGCAGGAGGAAGGGCAGCAGTGTTACAAGCTCAAAAGGCTTATAGATTTCAATACCCTTTCTCTCTCCCCCCCCAGATCCTCAACGTTCCCTGTTCACAGCATAACCCAACAATAAAAGCAACTGCTGCGGGTGGGGAGAGGGAAGGGGCACGGACAGACACAATGGGTTTATTTATAGGGGCACACACCAGGGGTTCTGCAGCCAAGAAGCTCAGGTCCCACTCCCCAAAGCCCAGCAGGCCCATCCCAGCCCGGCCAAGGGTACTGGAAAAAGCCTCAGACCAGAAGGCAGAAGGCTTATAGTCCCAACAATGCAATTTATTTGCTGTGTGACTTTAGGCAAATCACTCAGTTTCTCAAGGATAAGTTCCTTCATGCCAAGTGGAGGTTGTTCTAGAACAGTGGTTCTCAAAGTGTGGTCCAGGGACCCCGAGGCCCTTTCAAGGAATCTACAGGGTCAAAACTATTTTCACAATATGACTAAGACATTATTTACCTTTTTAACTCTCATTCTCTCATGAGTACATAGCGGCATTTTCCAGAGACTACGTGATATGTGATAACACAACAGATTGAATACAGAAGCCGATATGAGAATCCAGCTGCCTTCTATTAAGTCAGACATGACAGATTTGCAAAAATGAAGAACAATGCCATTCTTTTCACTATTTTTTGTTTTGGAAAATATATGATTATTTTTCATAAAATATGTTAACATGGGTTTATTGTTACTTTTGAATGAATTAAATAAATGTTTAAAACTCTCAGTTCCAATTTGTATGACAGTAAATGTCAGTAGGTACAATCTATATGAATAAAAGCTCTTTGAGGCCTTCAATTTTTATATTGTAGAGGGGTCCTTAGACCCAGCAGTTTGAAAAGAGTCACTTTTCTTAGAACAGTGTGGTCCAGTAGACCTTTCTGTGACGATGAAAATGTTTATTCCATGCTGTTCAATATGGCAGCCACCAGCCACACATGGCTACTGAGCATTTGAAATGTGGCTAGTCCAACTGAGGAGCTGAATTTTAAATTTAAATAGCCATATGCAGCTGGTGGCAACTATACTGGACAGTGAAGTTAGAAGATCCCTGGGATTCCTTGACTTGAGCATTCGAGGTCAATGCTTCTTTCCAGTCTAGAGT